TATATATATTTTTTTATATATATATATATATATATATATATATATATATATATATATATATGTATGTATATATATATGTATATATATATATATATATAAATAATATATATATATATATAAGTACATGAGCATGTATATATATATGTGTATATACATATATAGCATGTGTATGTACATATATATACATATATGTATATATATATATATATATATATATATATATATATATATATATATACATACATACACATATACATATTGCAACCTTTATCACATCTACTTGACAAAGCCTACGTTCAATAAGATAGATAGTTGAGATGATACAGCAAACAGGTTACGTTGCCGAGAGTTGTGGCAAATCAGATCGATTTTTCATCGTAGAGTATCGACGTAGACTTTGTTCGAGATGTAAAGCTTGACACTTGTCTGATAATTCACTTCTTCTCTTATTAATTTATATATCAACAAAAACAAATTACACCGAATTACATTGTCTCGTCGCTTATTTGTCACCGTGTCTATGTCGAATTTTCTTGAAATTCTAAGGCCTAGTCTACAATAGGTATTATAAGTTGTAGAAATTAACCATTATAAAGCTTGACAATTATAAGTGATTATTCTTGTAATAATCGGCTGTGATTGATCAATTCTTATGGCTTACAACTTATGACACCTATTGTACACCAGGCCTAAGAAACCGATTTTTCTTCATTCTTCATGTAACTGAAATTCCCATATTAAAAGTTCAGTTTCTTAAATCTTCGTCACAATTCACAACGATTTTTGAGAAAATTTTCATTACATCCTCGTAAGTTATTCATCCATTCAGCTATAATGCTTTCCAGATGTTTAAGAGAAACGTTCGATCCCAAGTGTCGATCTTATAATTACACCTAATGGCATAAAACTCTGGCTACACAAAATGGAAGCCGAGAATTTAAACGACAGCCAATTTGGATCTGCCGCGTACAATAAGAGCGTGATGAGTCTTGAGATACGAAATGAAACAGGACAAACAAGTAACATAAACAATATATATAATTAAATAGATATTATACAAAAATGATAGTAGTTCAATAATATACTATACATTAAGACATATTAACAAGAATTTAGGAAAACAAAAATCAATAATATTCGGTAAATAAAGTTTAGAGTGCGATAAAAATAGAACAATTCTTATTATCGCACTATTCTTAATTCTATTGACATATTCATGACATGTTAATAATCCAATTTTTTTCGTTGTATCTATGAAGTGAGTCAATGTAATTATCCGCAACGTATTGCTAAAATTGATTACAACATTAAAGATTTCTTAACATAGATTCTTAGTTTCTTAATGCATTTGGTCCAACGATATATATAAATTAAATTTTTTTATACTCTCAAATGAAAAACATATTTTCAGCATTAACAAATATAAAAATTACATAAAAAAATAATACTTTTGCAAGAGATACATATTCCTATATAATAAATTTAAAAAATGCATACATTGCGAGTAATATCATTGATATACCTTCACAGTTATCAACGATGCAAATAATATAAAATGTTTTTATATTCACACAATATTTTATATTATTTTGCCAAAAAGCAGTCAGAAAATTAATTGCCTATTCTCGTGATATAATAACAACAATATTATAATCAACGACCTAAACAATTCTTTGAATTGAGAACAAATATAGTACAATCGTATCTTCTCTCTTTCTTTTCTCCCCCTGTTTTTTTTTACACGAATTGTCATCAGCTTATAGCGAAAGAATATTTTTCGTTTTATCTATCGAGAATTTCACCCATATGTGATGTAGCAGGCCGACGAGAACGATTGATAAATAGGATGTCTACCAGCCGCTATGAATTTCGATATACTTCAATATCAATCCTGTTCATATAAAGATTTAGTATTTCAGATTGATGTTATGCGTCTGGCTAGTTCCTTGCAAATTGATTTACAGATTGACAAAATGACAATCGTATACAAACTTTTGCACATAAAATAAGATCAATCATCGCACTTTAAAGTGTGGGCACTTTAAACAGTATTAAGACACGTTCGTGCGCTCTCACTTGTATGACTCTATATGTACTGGTAACATAATATACATAATTAAATCGCACTCATAAGCTCCCTTATAAAATCACTTTCATGAGAAATTAGAACAATCAGAAATGAAACGTTGGCATATATCATCATTTTGTTAAGGGAAAAAAGCTAATTCATAAATTAAATTATTCGAGCACTGTGTAATCTATCCGTGTAATCGACTTGTAATCTATGATCTACAAACACACAAGTATTATGAAGTTGAATAATTTTTGAACGGCATGTAAATTAATATTGGCAGTAGAAAGTAACGGAGATACATACGAACGTGCTTATCTGGCAGTATGAACCACTACCATTTTCCTCAAACAATTATACGTAACCGGGAGAGCTATATAGGGGAGCTGAACTATTTAATTACGAATTGATCAATTAATTAACAGGGATCAAGGGAGTAAAACTACCTTACATGTCGCGCGCCGTTACATAAAGCGCGTACGTTTGTGCGTAGGGGATCCCATATCCACGTCGTGTGAAGCAGGCCGTTTATGATTCCGAGCGAGTTCGTTGCTAATAAAGGCCGACAGTTCAGCTTGTCGTCCGCTACGTCGAGACATCGGTGAACCTGAGGTTTCGTTATGCTTTAGAAACTGCTTTGCCAAAACTCAGCATGTATATATTTTTCAATGTAGATATCAAATCAAATCAATGTAACTGTTATAATGATTAAATTTTAATGTAAATATAGAAAATGTATATATTAAATTTATATACATATTATATATTAAATTTATATATTAAATCGGCGTTGAATACGTTACCAGATAATGCAATGGCCTCTCTAAATGTGTGCAAGTCGGGATCTGGATTGCTGCCTAGTGTTGGTGTTGGAGCAACAACCATACTCGGTGTTGGACTCTGTGATGGAGGAGAGCCACACACCATCATACGCGGCTTAGGTGAACTTCTGTAACAGTAACCACAAACTGTATTGAATTATTAAAAAAAAGAAAAAAAAACACAATCGGTATTAATTCACTTGATCGTTAATTTATTTTAACGATAAATAGTTAATTTAAAGATAAGTAGTGCAGTACATTATTTGTCATTAATGCATAAAATAGTAGTATCTTTAATGTCATTTAATATCATTAAAATAGTAATATCTTTTAGATAAATTGCTAAGACCTAGTAGAGACAAACCTGTGCGAATGTGGTCGAGGTGGCGGTGGTCTACCAGCCAAATATGCAAGAAGATCTTCTCTGCGTATCATACGTCTTTTTTTCCTTGCCCAATTCAGAATTTCTTTGCTACGCTTTTGTTTTCCCATTTCTATTCCCAGATCACTACAACGCCTCATACTATCGATGGAATCTATTTTAACAAAACTTAATTAATGAAATATGCACATACACATATATAACTCTTATATTAATACATATACCTGCCAGTATTTATAGTGAATACGTGAATGTGCAAATATGCAATCCTTATAAAGCAATGCCTAAGTTTTTATCACAGAAAGAAACCATAGATAACAATAGATAATGAATAAAGCAAAAGACAAAGATCATATTGCAATTGCTTACACAAATATCAACATTTGCATGAGTATTATTTGAAAATTTTTGTAAGCAACATAAACTTTAAATTGACCACTACAAGCTATCTTGTCACAATAATTACCACAAGTTATTTTTAAGCTAAATAAGTTTAAAATAATCTTTGACATTTAATATACACAGATTAACAATCACATACAGACTAGTCAAACACACTAAAAAATTGTTTGCTGTACAGTATTAATTATGTCTTTGCAATCAGTATTAACAACATTTACTATGCAAGGCCAAATTGTCGCAAACAAGATATAAATAATTTGTAGACAAATGAGAAAAATAAAATTATGCGCTTTATAATATATAATAATTTCTGTATCATGTTGCATCATAATCAACATAAAGTAGCAATCTCATTAATTTTCAAGTTTGACTTTCTATTTCCTTTACAGTTTGTTAATCATGTTTCTGTTGAGAGCTTTCAAACCTTTATCAACTGTTACAAGTATTTACTTATATGCAATCACAGGAAATGCCAATGAATCAAGTGTTCCTATATGATATTCCGATCTCAGAAATGATAGAAAGAAAAAAAATACAAGCAGACAAAGATAAGCTTAGAAGAAAGACGACAAGAGAGAAGGGGGCAAAGAGTGGAGATAGACGGTAATCTAGTCGACATTCTTGGAAACGGAAATGAAGAAACAGAGTATGCACCTTTGTACAGTGACGTGACAGTACCAGCAGCAGTCTGAAACGGTACCCACAAAGATACACCCAACGTTCGATCTGCAAAAGAGCAAAACAGAATTAGACGATCGAGTCGGATAGGTTCGATATCCAGAGAAAGAAAGAAAGAGAAGGAGGGAGAGCATAGCATATCTTACAAGTGCGATTGATCGAGAGACAAAGATCGCGAGTTGCGATATGCGTTGTTACGACGCGAATCGTTCTCGTAATGTCGCACAAAATGGATGTCAACGCGAGATGGTAACTAATGTTACACCACGACACGGCATGGCCACCGTCGCGACCACGAGCGCTCTCGTGTGCTCCGAAAAAGAGAGCAAAGAGCATCTCTCGTAGCAGTATCGTTAAGAACGTAGACTCGCCTTTGTACAGCTGGGCGATGGCTGACGCTGTGGTCTGGAAGCTCGCCCACATCTGCTGCGAATAGACTTCCTTCTCATTGTGCAGCTGCCCCTCATAATCAGGCTCGGCCTCGATTGACTCAACACATTGCTGTTCCCAACTACTGTACCAAAAGTCCATTATCGGATCGTCCTCACTCCGGTCGTCGGTCATCGTTGGCGATCGTGCGATCGACGCACCACCGTTCACTCTGCTCTAGCGCACTCACACCGCACACACACACACACACACGCGACACACACACGCGCACGCGACGACTGACACACGCGCGCGCACGTGTATAATTCTTACCGTGTGCAATAACCGTGAGCGTGAACGAGTACACGCCTCGCCCACCTAGTCTGCTCAACGAAATACACGCGTGACACACGTACGCACACAACGTGCCCGTTCGGCACGCCCGCACCGAATTCTTCAGCGTCTATGAGCGAGCGAACGAGCGAACACCACAATTGCTCACGACAATGACGGAGAGAATGAAACCGTTCAACTAGACGACTACTGTCGATTTGCGCTCTTGTTCTGCAGAGTTCCTTACAACACACAACGAACGCCGCAAGGCCACCGCCTGCGAATTAAGTTGCGGCCATGTCAATTATGCCACTGTAGGAATAGACTCGTTCCGGAATATCTGTACATTCAGCACACACGAAAAGCGAAATGGAAGATTGCTGCGAGAATCAAGTCAAGATACGTGTATCACGCAGGGGGGCCAATATGAGGATAAAGCGTGACTTTTGTGCCATCTATAAATACAATATAGGCTGCGTTCGGAAACGTCACGAATATCTCTCTCTCTTTTTATCTCACTCTTGTATCTCGCTCCAATGCAACGGATACACTTGAGTGACGTTTTCGAACATACTCATAGTATCGTTTGTAAAGTAATTGCAACATTTTGTGTATCGATTTTGCGATAAGGAGTCACAAGAATGATCGTACGAGTTTCGCTTTATATATATATATATATATATATATATATATATATATATATATATATATATATATATAAGGAGAGTTGTTTCTCGTTGATAAACAGAAATAAAGATTTATCCTTTAACTGATGTTTCGTCGAGTTATACTACTTGAAAGTAAAGCTTGGCTGATCAGTCGTTGAGTCGTACTATAATTTCAATTTTTTTATAGAAACGGTGGCGTCTCGTAGCGGAAGCTTTAGAACTAATAATAATAATAATAGAGCTAACCTCACTTCGCATAGGGACTCGATATTTGTTCAAAGAAAATTTATATAAGCAAATCTCAAACTTATTAAATATACAAAATTATATACTTGTATATATAAATTTACCATAAGGGAACTTCGTTTTTAAACTTTATTTACTATATATAATATTAAATTATAATACACAAATTAATGATCTATTATAATCAACTCATCGATACCCCAATCTTCGTAGCTGTTGTCAGGCAAATAGCGGCGTATAACTATGGGTATTTTCCTCTGTTTCAATTCTTTCATGGCAATTTGTAATGGGTCAGTTTCTCCTTCCAATTCTACCATTACAGGAGCGCACATGGCTATCTGCAGGGCTCTTGTTCCCAAAACTCTTGCCCTTTCATACCTGTGAAATAAATCAATGATATATCTAACATATTTTGTAATTTCTTATTACACTGAAACTATATGTATATACTTTGTCATGTATCTTGTAGTTATTCTTGTAGATCTTTCCACACCACCAGTAGCCTCGTTAGGATTCAGTAATTCGATATTCTCACCCTCATCCTCCTGAGGCTCTAACTCGATGTTGTCTTCGTCGTCTACATCGTCAAAATCATCTGCAACGCTATAAATAACAGTGAAATACATCGAAAAATTATTAAAACATTCTTTAGCCACTTCATGTTGTTTATTTACTTTTAGTTAAAAAGAGACAAATTAAGAAATTAAAAATAAATAAAACAAAGAAATATAACAGTAATCTTTACAGACACATGCTGCATAGCTATATTACTTACTCATCACCATCAAAATCTTCGTCAGCCATTTAAAGATCCGCAAGAGTCGTAGGCAAATCCTGAATTGCGTTTGGAGACCTGCGAGACTACCTCTCATGCGGCGAGAGCGCGACCATTATGATTTGTGTATAACCCACTCAAGCGTATTGTTCACACGAACGCAAGAGCAGGAAGGTTGGGTCGAATTATGGCTCCTGCACACAGGACGCGGTAATGCTTTCCGCGCGGCGGAAGTCCGCGCGATAGCCAATCAATATGTAGTTTTTCCGTAAGAGCTAGAAAATTATTATGGAAAGCAGCATATTGATTGGCTGTCGTGCGAACTTCCGTCACTCGGCAAGCATTACTGCGTCCTGTGTGCAGGAACCATTAAGCTGGTGACACACAGAGAAACTTAAGCAGTAAGACGTAAGTAGTAAGCAAATCAGCCAATCACAGTCGTTAATTCTTGAACCATAAGAAGAATCAACGACTGTGATTGGTCAATTTGCTTATTGCTTACGTTTTACTGCTAAGGATGCTATTTCACGTGTTGTACAACATTTCGGATACTTTTATTGGTTGCGAATAGAGTATTTCTAGGTTCTCTGTTCGTCAACCAATGAATGTATCCAAAAAACTTGTCATACAACACGTGAAATATCAGCCTAAGGGTGCGTTCAGATGGAGAAAGAAATAGCGTAACGGAGCAGTTATGGAAAAGAGATACAGTGGGGGTCAGGCAATCAGAGTAATTCCGTTTTTATTCTGTTCTGTTGTTTGATAGGTAGGTTTCACATGGCACAGAACTGTTACGGAATAGAACAAAAATGGAAAACATTCTAACCTATCAACATCGAGAATTGTAAAAACCGCGCAGAGCTTGTAGCGATTTGACGGCAGTTTGGCGGCAAAACCGCGCAGACCTTGCTACGCTGCAAGCTTTGCGCGGTTTTTGCTGCAAATTTGGCACCAATTGCCCGACATCAAGATCTGTCGCCAAAACCGTAGCCTAATATAGACATAGATGGCTATGGTTTTGCTGCACATAAAACTTCACGCATAAAACGTGAGATATTATGTGTACCCAACCCTGCAACCTTGATTTAATTCTTAAGCCGTAAGAAATTGACCAACCACAGTTAATTATTTTTAAAATAATCGACTGTAGTTGATTAGTTTATTACGGATTAAAGATCAAAGCAAGGTTGTGGACAAGGGGTATCTCGTTATTGGAGTTAACGACAGTTTCATTATTGTTACGCAGCTTTTCTACGATATACAAAAGCTGCGCAATGATAACGAAACTGTCGTTAACTTCAATAACGAGTTAAAAAATAAGGCTACAATGCTGGAATTCTGTAACTCGTTATTGGAGTTAACGACAGTTTCATTATTGTTACGCAGCTTTTCTACGATATACAAAAGCTGCGCAATGATAACGAAACTGTCGTTAACTTCAATAACGAGTTAAAAAATAAGGCTACAATGCTGGAATTCTGTAACTCGTTATTGGAGTTAACGACAGTTTCATTATTGTTACGCAGCTTTTCTACGATATACAAAAGCTGCGCAATGATAACGAAACTGTCGTTAACTTCAATAACGAGTTAAAAAATAAGGCTACAATGCTGGAATTCTGTAACTCGTTATTGGAGTTAACGACAGTTTTGTTATTGTTGCGCAGCTTTTGTATACTGTAGAAAAGCTGCGCAATAATAACAAAATTGTCGTTAACTCCAATAACGAGTTACAGAATCCCAGCACAGGACCTCTATTCTGGAAATTTTTGCGTATACGTAATTTTCATTGCGCAGCTATTTTATAGTATGATTAAACCTGCGCAATAAAACTTACGTATATGCAACTATTTCAAAAATAAGGGCCCAGTGCTGGGATTCTGTAACTCATTATTGAAGTTAACGACAGTTTCGTTATCGTTGCGCAACTTTTCTACAGTATACAAAAGCTGCGCAACGATAACGAAACTGTCGTTAACTCCAATAACGAGTTACAAAATCCCAGCACAGGAACGAAAAATAAACCTATAGTTTGATTAGTTCATTCATGTCTTTACAGAGAGCACTACCATCGCATTTTTTGCGCATGCGTATATGTTGTTATGCGTCTGAGTTGACGGAAAGCGTCTTTTTCAGATTTAGGGTTATGGTCGTAGCGTGTATCGTGTAAGTCACAAAGATAAATGTTCATGTAGCCGTCAAGTAGATAATATCCTTGTTCTTTTGAGTTATTTTTATAAAAACGTTACGGTAAGTTTTTGTGGGTATGTTAGTACATAGGATAAACACATTTAGAATATACTGTCATTGTACGTATTACAGTCAGCAGTGTTTGCATACCGTTGATGATACAAAGAATCATTAGAACAATATATATTACAGTAATATCACACAATGATCATAAATGTTATTTTTAAAGGTTCCCTAACGTTTCTCAAAATGTCTGGAGGTATGCTTTATGGTGGAGATGAAATAGGGGCATTAGTCTTTGACTTAGGCCACCACTCTCTAAGAGTAGGTTATGCTCAAGAGGATACTCCAAAGGCAGAGATTCCAGCTGTTGTGGGCATAGGAGAAGATGGCAACAGCACAGCTAGCAAAGCTGAACCCATGGATATTGATGATAAAAAGCCTGATAGTAATATCACTCAGAGTGGGACCAAATATTATATTGATACGACAATTCTTCATGTTCCACGAAGAAATATGGAAATTGCTAGTTATATGAAAGATGGTATGATTGAAGATTGGGATCATTTTGAAAAGGTGACAAATGAATTATAACTTGTATGATTTAAACATATAAGTTTTTTATATCACAAGAGCCTGACTATATGTATATTTGTTAGGTTTTAGATTACACATACTCAAAGGTAATTCAATCTGATGCTGAATATCATCCTGTATTGTTTTCTGAATCACCTTGGAATGTACGCAGCAAACGTGAAAAATTGACTGAGTTAATGTTTGAAAAATATAATGTACCAGCTTTTTTTATTGTGAAAAATGCAGTTTTAGCTGCATTTGCGAATGGCAGATCCACTGGTATAGTTGTTGACAGTGGTGCTACACATACATCTGCAGTACCTGTGCAAGATGGATTTGTATTGACTCAAGCTATTGTTAAATCTCCTCTTGGTGGAGATTATATAAGTATGCAATGCAGGCAGTTTTTACAAGTAAGCTCTTATAAAAAATGTGGATATTTATCTATATTTATTAAAATATGAACGATATTTCTAAAATTTAATTATTTTGAATAACTTCAGGATAACGATATTGATCTATCACCGCCTTATATGGTAGGTAGTAAAGAAGTAGTTAAAGATCACGATAAACCACGATGGGTTAAGAAGAAAGGTATACCAGAAGTCACCAAATCTTGGCATAATTACATGGTGAAGAAAGTAATTCAAGATTTCCAAGCCACGATTCTTCAAGTATCAGAGACTCCATATGATGAGAAAATAGTTTCCACGATTCCAGCAGTCCAATATGAGTTTCCAACTGGATATCATCAGGTATATATTTGAAATAATGTCTTTATAGCTCTAGGAACTTTTTAGATTCAAAATGAAGTAACTAAAAAGAAAATATACTTCTAGGATTTTGGAAGTGAAAGATTCCGAATACCAGAAGCGTTATTTGATCCCAGCATGGTACAAATGCGCGGTGGCATGGTTGGTAATACCATGTTAGGTGTGGGACACATTGTCGCCACCAGTGTTGGCATGTGCGACGTCGATATGCGACCGTCACTTTATGCGAGTGTCGTCGTTACTGGTGGCAATTCGTTTATTCAGGTATAATTTTTGAACGAATAACATTAGGGGCTATTCAATAATTATGTCATACTATGAGGGATGGGGGAGGGGTCTACCAGCTTACATGACAGTCTGTGATGGTAGGGAAAAAATAAAGCTCATGAAATATCACATGTAATCGGTATTTAAATTTGTATATCTAAAAATACTATATTTTATAAGAATAATTTAATTCTGTGTTAATCAAAATGTTAATTTTGAAATATTTATTTTCTTAAAACATAACTTTTACTAATTAAAATTATAAAATAAAGTAATTAATTTGAATTTATGTCTATATAAAATTATATTTGTATTTTAAAAAAAGATAATAGTGCGGTCTAATAATTATTACTTACAATATAATTATAAGCTTAAAATATAATTATAAGCTTACAATATAATTATAAGCTTACAATATAATTATAAGCTTTTTTTATTTTATATGAGGGGTAATTCTATATGTCATATAATATTGAAAGCAGATCTAAACTTTGTGATAAAGAGGAAAAAAGGGGATAAAAAATACTCAAATTTTACATGATATAATTATTGAGTCAATAATTATAGTACAGTATCCTTGATTATAGTATAGTTACAGTGTCCTTGATTGGACAATCGTTTTCCCTCATTCTATGCTAACAGGATGTTATGTACACTTGCAGGGCTTTCCAGAGCGTTTAAATAGAGATCTGTCTGTGAGAATACCTACCAGCATGCGTCTTAAATTAATCAGCGCAAATGGTTGCGCGGAAAGAAGATTCGGAGCTTGGATAGGTGGTTCAATATTGGCGTCGATCGGTACTTTTCAACAAATGTGGATTTCCAGTCAGGAATATGAGGAAAGCGGAAAGAGTCAAGTAGAAAGAAAATGTCCTTAAACCGCGATAGTTCACTATATATTTCTATCTTCAAGTCATCATAGACGTCAGTGTTTGTACAAATGTCGCACACGAAGTAAGTACAATTTTTGGAATACGAGAATCTACGTTGTACGATATTGTGCATTATTTGATATATGTAATATCTAAGGCACGTAACGATACTAGGAGTCATTTTTTGAAATAAAACGACTTTTTATAACATTGTATAATAAATGAATACACTTATGATGTTATAAAATTACACGCTCGTTCTACACGTACATACAGATATATTTTATTTGTAAGCAACATTAATCATTAGCCAATTACATTACTCGAAATTGTAGTACGAGTAAGTGAAATGACAGAATTTATCTTCACTTATCATCGACATGTCGTATTATGAAATACATGAAATTTTGTAGATTATAATGAGATCTTTTTATAAAAATTTACCGTGGCAGGCTGTATCCTGGATATAAATATGTAATTCTTGTGTTGTTCCTTCTTTCGTTACACTCATTTTGTACTTGCACGATATCCTCTTGGTTTCACTGCTAGTGACGTTATGTGCACTGTATTCTATGAAACCATGTCCGACCCCACTACTGTAGCAAGCATCCTATGAAAGTAGGATAGAATAAAGTTCATCTGCAAAGTATAATGTTCTGTCTGTAGTCCATAGTTGTATCTATGCGTCAAAGTAATAAGTAAAACGTGAAAGTACAAAGGAAACGACTTGCCTCTCCTCAATTGCTTTAATTAGTACTTTGTCAATGAGGCAGTATCATTTGTCAAACTGCATGACTAAAAAGATGGAAAGAAAGATCTTAGAATACAACTTATCATTATAACTTCTTTATAATGAAAGACGTTGATCTGACAAGTGAGGTATCATTAAGTTTGAAATATTAATGAACGAGAGTTGCTATACACTTCTGCTATACCTTATGCTTTAACGTCTTTCGACAGAATCTTTAATACAGTAATGGGTCTACTAATTGGTTCTGTGAGAGAGAGAAAAAAAGAGAATAAACAATTAACTAAAAAAACTCAGTTAAAAATATGGATATGATGTGCAAACTGCTGAAGATCATCAGTACGTTTCCAACTGTCGAAAAATTTATATTTGTCGATTGACCTTCCTCTACTATTGCATTTCTGTCAATATTAACGAATATAGATACGATATAAAGTTCGTGGATACTTCCCTCTTTCAAAACTCAGCTTGTCATTATGCATTCTTTCAATGAAAATCAGATAAATATCGATGATTATGTGCTTATTAATAAAAAAGTTTTAAAATTTGTTGGCCTTTATCCAACGAGTGTTGTGAGATACATCGTGTGTTGTGTGTGTATGTTTGCAATCATTATACCACAAATAATACAAATTTATCAAGATTGGCAAGACTTGGCTATTGTACTAGAAACAAGGTATATCTAATTACATATATGTTAAGAAAAATTTATTTCTGTGTAACTTGTTTTGTTTATAGTTCTGTGTTACTCACTATTCTACTTGCCATACTAAAATCGTTGGTTTGGATGAATAATAGGAGAAAAATGGACCTATTTATAGATTATATGTTAACAGATTATTGGAGGATAATGACGACGGCACAGATCTCGAAATACGCAGATGTATATGCAACGTAAATAAATATT